TTATTTTTTAACTAGCTGATAATAAAAATCTCAATATAGATTTGAACTAAAAACTAAATTTTCTTTGAGTTCACCTTCAGCTTTCACTCACATTAAACCAAGCAGAGGAACAAACTGGATGTAGAGAACAGCCTGGGATCAGCTATTGTTCGCACAGCTATTGGAGCTCATCAAAGCGAGATTACGTGTCTTAATGAAAACAACGTATACAAACTAAGTCAGACTCTAGTTTTTGTTCACAATTCATTCAGTTTAAATGTGACTACAGGGAGTTACTCAGAGGAGCTCCAGTTTTATAAAAAAGCTGATTTATAAGATGATTTTCTTTTTTATTTATTTTGATTCTTTACTAACTTCCAGGCAACATATTTATGTTGGTTTTTTTAATTTAAGATGGAAAGAATAAAATGCCTAATGATTGAATGATCAAGGTAAAAGATTAAGTAAAATTATTTTATTGTATAGTTATTGTGCGTTCCATTTTTGAACAATCATCAGTACTTTTAAATGAGAGGGAGACTCATGGTAAGAACAAATGCCCAAAGAGATACACAAGTCAAAAAAGTTTAGGAAATACTGATCCAAAATAATGTCAGATTCTCATGGATGCCACCCATCTATGGTTGGCATATTTTATGAAATGGTGCTTTCAAGGTCTGCTGGGAGACTTGAAAGATCATCTGTGTCTTGGAAGAACTCAGACATTGGCTGTTGTTAAAAATAGTAGAAGAGGAATAGTTGTATTTGGCAACAGACGGTGCTTTACTCCTCAGCAGCTTACATCACTCATGTTTTGCTTAGCTTTTTTTGACTTAATGTTTCAAAGTCATCTTAATCGGATCTGGGTGTTTAATACTTATGCTTCCACATTATTATATTCTACCTCAAACTTTGAGCGTGATTTGATATGAAAGAGCTTAACTAGTTAAACTGACACCTGGAGCTTTCTTGGGTGAAAGCAAAAAGAAAACAAAGCTGCATAAGAGATGGAATTGGACAGGGAAATTGGGACTTAAAACCATAACAGGGGATTTTCAACTGCCAATTCACAAAGTGAAAGATTTAATTATAATGTGTCATATTTTCACTGCTGTAGCCTCTGGGATTCCTGAAGTATGACTTCACAGAAAGTCATGTTTCTGAGAAGGACACAAGGCGGTAAGGAATGGGATTACACATTCTTCAGTATTGACATCAATTTCCTCTACCTTGACATGTATGGAAACAGAAGTGATAGGACCAGGTCAAAGGTCAAGATATGAATCAGAGGGGTGTGGGGGTAAAAAAGCCACAAACAACCAAATTTTATTATTTTGGTCATTTGTGTACTAATTAGAAGTCACCATTTTTAATCGCATGATTTAGTTATTTTCTTTGACATAGTGTAAGTTATGTTTGAATCAGTGAATCACAAAAAAGAAACATAATACTGCTTTTTGCAGGTTTTTGATTACAGAATAGATTTAGAAAAAAATGTAAATCTATTTCTGTGCGTCTTAGTCAAGATTTTACTCCTCAAAGCATCCTATTTTACTCATCCCTCTCTAGTTTACATAGAGGGTTAAAAAAACAGGTTAATTTAGCTGCCCTACCTCTCTCTGTTTGCGTTAAGTTTTAATCAGGTGCCACTACTGAAAGAAGTAAAACGATAAATAATCAGTCAATGGGAACATATGTAGAATTGACTATGGCTCACCGATGCTTCATGTTGTCACCGCCTGCAGTCAAACATGTGTTCCAGCACTTTTGTTTGAAATTCTAAATCCTGTCTGTATGGGTGAAAATCTTCAATTGAGGAGTATAAGGAATATCTATTTCATTTATATTCGAAGTATTATAGTTTAGGCTTTAATGACTTTTCTTTAGAGGTAAATCGATACAAGGTCCGACTTATAATTTCGGATATTAGCTGTTTTGTTCTTATATTAGCATCGGGTGATATGTGATTTGTTTGCAGATTTATTAGTGCTTTTAGCAGCTATGCCTTGAGATCACATGATGCTCATTCATTGCCGCTCCCCGTTCGCTGTTCATCACTAATGTTTAGGTTGAGTTGTTAATAAATGTCTCTTTTTTGTTAAAATTGAGAATTATGTAAAATTTGACCATGTAAATGGAAAAATAAAAAGCAACTCAGGCGAGAATCAGTCCCCCAAAATTGGCAGCACATTTCTGGGATCCGGGTCAATCGATAATGGCACCTGTTTATAACGAACTGTATCGGCCATTTTTGTTTTTAAACTCTATACAGTTAACACATCGTAACAGCAGGTAAGCGCAACAAAGCAGCGTGTGCTACGTGTGTCACAGCTTTCTGTTTTAAACAATAAAATGATTAATACAGGGCGCCTACTATGCTCATTCAACTTCCCTATTAGGCGCGTAGATATTGTTCCTAGAGTTCCTTAGAGTTTCTAATTTCAGATGCGGATACACTCCATTTTGGGCTAGGAAGAAACCGAAACAACATCATGTTTCATAGTTCACTTCAGGCCAAGGTGCGTCTTCTACTTGGTGCTTTTTTTACAAGATAATACCCCAAACCTACAGTTATTGCCGCTCAACCAGAAAATGTTGGTAGTTGTGACATGCTAACAAAATACATATTTGATTTCTCATCAGATTGGTTAAATGTGGATTTTTGTTACTTATACGTTCATAACTTTCACACAGTATTGTTTAATTTGCTTACCCACGTCACAAAAGCTTTGCTCAGAGCCCCGTTGCTGAACCCGTTGCTGCGGAGCTTTCTCTTCAGCAGCTGGTCTACATTTCAGTTTTCAAACATATGTGCATATGCCACTTTGCCATGTTATGCATCCAGTCTATTTACTGCTTAACACCTAGATTACCTACTGATAGTAAGAAAGGTTATCTTGAAATAATGCTGCACTATTTAAATGTTGCCTTAAATGTTGTTGAATTACTCCAGTCTTCATTCTAGGGTTCCTACTAGCGCATTTTAAAGTTGAAAGTTGTCACCACTATGCTGAAATTAGGCCGATACTCCTAATTTTTTAATTTGGGCTCTCTCTCTCAGAGTTCCGATCAACGCATTTTAGCACAACGGCTTGTTTCACTGAAAGGTTTTCAATCACACTGAAATAAGGATGATTGTCAAAATTTAATGAGGGTAACAACAACGGTTTGGCAACA